TGAGAGCCCCACCAGGCCACCCACTCCCAGCAGCGTACAGTTTTAGGCCAGGACCAGGAGCCTCCAACCAATCCCCTACGGCTCCTGCCCTTACCTCCAGAATGGTGTATGAAGCCTCACAGCCAGGCAATGTTGCTGCCTTCCCATCCAGCAGGAAACTGAGCTCTTTATATTATAGGCAGCCAGAGATCTAAAATGGCTGCCTTAATAAGCACCTGCTGGCTGCTTAGCTTTGGTCTTAAAGTGGCAGGCACCAACAGTGCCCTGCCACACATCCCCCTTTAAATGGTACCTAAGGGGTTTCCCCTGCTACTTCTCCAAAGCAGGGTCCCACCGGAGCCTGTGGGAGCCCCCAAGTGGTGAGCACCCTCAAAGGTGCTCTGCCACACACCTTTCCCCTTTGAATGAACTCTGGGGGGCTTTCCCTAGGCTGCCTTCTCTGCTGGGCTCTGGCCCAGCCAACTGCAGTCTCTACCACGTGGTGACCATCCCAAAGGTGCTCTGCCACACTTGGGCATCCGAAGGTTGCACTTGCACATTTGAGGCTGTGTTGGATTTCTTCACTGATGTCAGCCTTCTGCAAGAAATGTCTTCCAAGGTATGGGAAATACTCAACTTTTTCCAGAGTCTCAAGGTAAATCTGGATTACCAGATCTGGGGACTGGTCAAGTTGGGGAGCTTGTTGATGGGAGGGCCTTAGTCTTCTGAATGTTAAGTGTGAGTCCCATTTTTCTTGTACGCCTCGGTAAAGACATGGTCCATTGCCTGAAGGTTTGCTTCTGAGTGAGAACACACTATAGCATCAACCGTCCCATTAATCTTTGCGCTACCTGCAAATTTTATCAGCTGTGACTTTATATTTACTTCCAGCTCATTGAAAATGCAGTGCTCAGTTTTAATCGGTGCAGTATTAAGTCAAATGTCTTAAATATCTATTCAGTTACCTTTACCAACCAAGCTGTAATATAACTGAAGAATGAAATTGTTTAAGATTTATTTTCCATGAAGACACATTAGCTGATTTTAATTATACTTTCACCTCCTAATTCTCTATCAAATGAATCCTGTATCAGCTTCTTCATTGTTATGCCTGGGATTGACATCTGACTGACTGACCTCATTAGTGATACCATTCTACTTGTCCTTTTTTGATGTTGGCATACCTTTAGCATGCTGCTAGCATATACAGTTCCCCTAGTATTCCAAGATTTATTGAAGATTGACATTAGTGAGCCAGCAGCCTTCTCAGCTGTTCTTTCTGCGCTCCCTATATCAGTAAGCTATGTTCACCATTTCCACCTCTGACTGACCTATGCGTTCTCAATGTGCCATACTAGAGCTGATTTTTCTAGCCCTTATGCATCTTATGTGGCTATTACCTTACCAAGGCTCTAGAGCTACTAAAGTGGATCGGGGCTTTTTAGAAGATGAGCCGGAGTGCTGGAACTTCCTCCACAGGCGTTGGAATGACCAGAGAGTCTACATTCTTCAGTGTACACTGTAAATCCCACTTCTGTACTTTAGAAACGTACCATGTCAGCGGTCCTGGAAGAGGCATTTTCAGGCATATCTTTTCAGTTGTAACTAATCTTTCAGATTATCTGCTTTCTGTAATCTTGGGTAATTTTAGTTGCTTCAGGTATAGCAATTACAGCCATTATATTAGATAAGGAGAAACAAGATAAGGAAATAACCAATAGAACATAATGACATTAGATGGATAACAAGGAAAATCAGATCACACTTTGAGTAGCAGCAGATATGCAGGTCTTCAGTTGTGATTTCAGACTTTGTTAAAAACGAAAGGATGGTTGAAAATACAGGTAGCAAACCACATTGACCACATGGTTCTATGACCAACTTGAAGGGACTTGAATCAGGGAACCCGAGCCAGCAGATGACTGGTGGGGGCTTTGGGGTATGTTGGATGTAGAGGGGTGCAATGAAGGGCAGCCTGTGAATGAATTTGTGCCTCAAGGGAGGATTTTTCTTGGCTAATCAATTTAGATCAAATGAAACTGCACCATGGCCTATAGTGAAGAAATTAATGAGTGAAAGGTTGTTGTAGAAATAATTGGGCAACTTTGACTGCTGGTTTCAGTACTTTTATTTGGTTTTTTATCTGGTGATGTCAGCTGAAAGAACCACTACATGAACATGAAAAACTCAGCCCTGGAGTCAGAAAGCAGTGTTTGGGGTTCAGACTGCCTTATCTCCCTGTACCTGTTGTCAGAGTATGAAACAATGAACAAATATGTTAGGGAAGAATGAAGTGGAGATGGCACAGAACCTGCTTGGAAAATAAACAGTTTATGTTTCTCTGGGAGGACAAGTAAAAAGGTAAATCAGAAGAGCACTGGTGTGACCTGCGTGTCCTTTTCCATTTCCAGATGGATGGAAGCCTGCCTGAATGAGGAGCTGCCTCCCACGACTGAGCTGGAGGAGGGACTGAGAAATGGAGTCTATCTTGCCAAACTTGGAAACTTTTTCTCTCCCAAGGTGGTGTCTCTTAAGAAAATCTATGATCGGGAACAGACCAGGTATAAGGTAAGTGCTCTCTGTCTGGGATTCGGGACAGTGGAAGCAGGAGGCAGTGTAGAGAATAGGCAATGTGGGGCCCAAGGAAATGTCAAGGCCCTGGTAGATTATGGGAAATTTAGACGGACATAAGAAATTCTTTCTGAATAATGGGAAGTCAAGTGAAGGCAAATCTCTAGTTTTGTCTTTGGGGGTGGGATAGTGAAAGCCTGAGAACTGGCCTGTTGCTGTAAGTCCTAAATGCAGCTTGCTGTCTAAAGTATTCCTTGCAGTATCTGAGACTGCAGATCTTTGCAAGTGGGTAGCTCCCAGAAGTAGCTTTTGTCCATTGCTTGTCTTAGCAAAATTCCCTGGTACATCTCAGTGGCTGTGATGTTTTACGTGTATGGTTTTTTGCTCTTCCTCCTCTTCATTTCAGGCAACTGGTCTCCATTTCCGGCATACTGATAATGTGATTCAGTGGCTGAATGCCATGTCTGAGATTGGCCTCCCCAAGGTAATGTCTGCACTGTATAGGCACAGGTCCAAGCTTGGAATGTTGTTGGGCAATTCTGCTGTTGTATAAGGTTTAGCGGACTCTGGTTAGCTAGTCCTCAGTTTCCTAGACTTGTTTCTCTCTAGCCATTCCATCTTGAAGTTTGCGCTGTGTGCCTGAGGAACTCAGAGATGGTGATGTTTTTCTTTCAGTGCCATATGCTTAATGTTCATAATCCTGGGTGCACTGCAGACATTGAATTTCGTATTCATCACTTTTTTGAGCCATGTGCCTGAGCTATGGTTTGGTTGTGGCAGTTTTTAAGAATCTTCCTGGGAAACTCATGAATGCAAGGAGCAACTCTTAGGGGAAAATGGAAGATTCTCTGTTTCTTGAAGATATGCTGTAGTCCAGTGTGTTTCAGTCTGTGGACCCTGGGGGTTCGCAGACTATGTCTAAAGCAGGGGTGGGAAAAATACAGGCTGTGGGCTGGATTTGGCCTGCCAGGCCATTCTGTTTGGCCTGCAGGGCCTCTAAAATGTTAGAAAATTAATTATCTGCCCCTGGCTGCTGGTCAAAGATGACAAGGTAGCATGGACTTGGTCGTCACACCAGATGACAAAGCTAACATGTTTAACGATTTCTTTGCCTCCGTCTTCCTAAGTAGGGACCAGAACAGCAACCTCCCAGCTGGGCCCCCTTCGGGCCCCGGGGGAGGCACACCTGGGCCAAGGGTTAGCGAGGACTTAGTAAGGGAGCTTCTGGAGGGGCTGGACGTAGTCAAGTCAGCCGGTCCGGATGATCTCCACTCTAGAGTTCTAAAGGAACTGGCCGAGGTCATTGCAGGTCCCCTGGCACGGCTTTACGAGCACTCGTGGTGCACTGGAGAGGTGCCG